TACTCTCTCTCTCTCTCTCTCTCTATATATATATATATATATATATATATATATATATATATATATATATATATATATCGTTTACTGTCGTTTTTCATAGCTTTATTGTTTTCCTTATTCACTACTCTCCATAATAGCTTTTATTCTTCTATAACTTTTGTTCTTCTTCATGGTCTTCGCTTCTTTACTTTTTCGTTTCGGGGTCATTTTTTTCCACTTCTTTTCCTTGTTAGAAACACCTGCCTTCTATAAATGAAATTCTAACACACTTTAACTGCTAAATTGCCACACTTTTCCCTACTTCGGAAAGCCCATTTCATCGAACGGATCTACAACAAAAGAATTACAATAAAAAAATAAACTACCATAACATAAATCTGGAATTGTATTCTCCGGCACAAAAATAATGTCTTCCTTTATTATTTTCGTTTTGCAACAAGCGCACCTCTTCTGAATACGTAGACTTAATCATGTGATTGTAAACGTATCAAGAAGATATCCAAAGGCGTTATATTCAAGAGGAATCGGTGAATTTAGTGATACACAGGTGTTTTTTTTTTTGTGTGTGTGTTTGGTTTAAATGATGTTGATCCGACTGTACGATAAGAAGCAGAGCACTGATCTGGAGCTGCAACTGAACACCTCGAAATTGTTAATGTGATATGCAGGATTATAGATTCCTATATATCCTTGTCGTAATCTCACAAGCACAACTGCGCACGCGCACGCACGAACGTACATACACGCGTGCCCATGTGCACAAACGCAACGATGATTTGATTTTTGTGAAACAATTGATTGTTTTTCTTTTTAATATTTCTTCAAGTAATTTTATTTTTGTTGAATTTTATTTTATTTTGGGTACCTCCACCTGTATACGGATAGAAAATGAATTCCGTAAATATACAAAATTAGAAAGGGGTGTTTTTGCTAAACAATTGATTATTTTTTTTTTTTTTAATATTTTAAGTGATTTTATTTTCGTTACTCACATAATTGTTGGTTTAGAATATTTTCTTAAAGTAAATCATATAAAATGTATATATCCACAACTGGAAAAATGTTTCCCCAGAACATATTTATTAAGAACTAGAAGTGGAAGAATATTCGTAATTTCAAACTTGATATTTCTGAAAAAAAAAAATCAACAACAACAACAACAACGAAAAAGAAACAAAAAAAAACTAAGTGTAAATAACCCTTTAAAAAGCGTGGAATCGATTTGACGCTGTATTTATAGGACGAAAATGATTAAAAATCAATATTTTTAAATTCTGATAAATGTCGTGTCTTCAGAAAGGTATACCGAATGCTAATAAGCAAAAATGATTCCTTCCAAGATTTTCTCTATTCTTTACGAGTAGACCAATCAACATCGGTAGGCTCTGATCCTGGATTGGTTACCTACTATTTTTTATCTTTACCAGCATAAGCTTATAGCTTATAGCACAATAATATTTCTTGTGTTTGCGTTTTCTACTGACATGGAGTGGAGTGATTATATTGAATCAATTGTTAAGTCTACTGCTAGGAAAGTTGGTTCACTGTGTCGTTCCGGACAATTTTTGTCGTTAGAATCCATCTTGCGCATTTTTAATTCTACCATTCGTCCGTGCATCCAATATTACCGCCATATCTGTCTTGGCACTCCTGCTAGATATTTAAAGATTCTCAACAAAACCCAAAGACGAGTCCGTAATATTAGCGGTCCTGACCTGGGATCTAAACTCCAGTCATTTCCCCACAGCCGTGACGTTGCTCCCCTCTGTTTTTCTATGAATATTTTCATCGCAATTGTTCTAATGAGCTTTCCTTCTTGCATTTCGACAGCATGAATTTAAGCGTGCTATTAGACTGGCAACTAATTCTCACAGTATCTGTCTATATTTCTGAGATGAGGTATTATGTACACTATTTGCCTTATTCAGACTATTGCCCTCATTTTTGTTGCCATATTTGTCACAACATTTCGGCCGTTGTACGCTCCGGCCTTCTTAAGGGGATTGGAATGTCAAACTGGACCCTTTATTTCACTCGCTTTGGTAGACTGTTCTAGTTCCACGTGATATTCACAGTGGATAAAGGCGTTAGATAGATCCAGTGACAGGACCCAAAGAGTGTGAGTTCAATACCTGGTTAAGGCAGTGGAGAACTTGGAGAGGGGAATTAACAGGAGATAACTGATATCCATTAGACATGGCACGTGGAACTAGAACAGTGTACCCTAGCGAGAGAAATAAAGGGTTCAGTTCGACATACCAAGCACCTGAAGAAGGCCGGAGCGTACAACGGCCGAAACTATTTGAATAGTTTTTTTTTCTTGTATTTCTCGCCGATGGAACTTCCTTTCGGTTTCTTGCTTTCACGTACAATCTTCAAAAATTTAAATGCAACGCCAATCGCTCTATTGTCTTTTTCTGAAACCATGCTCATTTATTACCCTTTCTCCTCACTAAAGATAATATTAATAAATTAAATACTATTTTTTTTATTTAATAACTATTTGTTCTCAGTTGTTGACATTAATATCTATCTGCTTATGCGTTAAAGTTTTGGAATAATGCAATAATAAAAATTTAAATTTCATCTCTCTGATAGATGTCGCAATCTGTAAATTTATTTTTGGTATTTTGCTTAAAGTCTATATTCTTTTGATTTCTAATAAAAAACTTGTATGTTTTCCAACATATTTCACTGCGATTTTCATTCTCCGAAATTAAAGCAGATAATAATAGCTAAGATGCAGGGAAAAAAAAGATGGCGCGAGTTTAAACTATCACCAAGAGGATATGTGTTTAAAGAAAGATCACGGAAAAGGAAATCAAACTGCATATAACACTGGTTATAAAGTCATTAGCCATAACATGTTGAAATACCGTCTCTCTTACGATCACTGAAGTTAATGTTGAGTCTGGTCAATTCCGCTTAAGAATACCGACTGCTGTAAACCTGGATGTGCGGTTGGTGCGATGTATAAGGACTCGGAACTGGAAATCGGAGAGCTGTGTTTCAATTCTAGTCGGATCCGTTATATTTATTTACGCACAAATGCACTTTGATAAGGCATGAATCCACCTCATCGACCCCCACGCCCAACTAGGGGTTACTTTGTAGGAATAGCATCAGTAAATCATTATTATTGCCAAAGAAAACTTACAATCTAAAAAAATATTTTCTGGCTTTAAAATAACCTGGGAAGTGTCGATAAACCGTAAAATCAAACCACTCACACTCACAATTATAGGTGGACATATACATAAATATACAAATTTATAAGAAGTACTAATCAATAGACTCAAACTTTCTAGAATCTCCATTAGAATTAGAATTTTATTTTATTTTTTAAAACTATTTCACCCCAAGCAAGGCGATAATTCCACTAAGACGCAAGGGAGTTACTGGGAATCAAAGAAAATGAGAAGGATTTAGAAGGAACCGGAAACCCAATACTGAACAGGAAACAAGAGCTAAAACGCTACTCCTGTTCAAAAGACGAGGAAGGAATGTGTACCGGGCGATAGTGAAACTATCTACTCCGATTCAACTCAAACACGTCTGTAGACTAAATAGTATATTTATAGTAATAATGAAAAAAATGTCGAATTACGCTGCTTTTAAGGTTAAAGATGTCTTTTACCCTTTTAATCATTTCATCCCACGCAACCTGTATTCATGTTCAAAACAGGGGAAGAAGCGTAAACCGGGCGATAGGCGAACCTATCCTGTGAAACTACACTCTGTCAGATTTCATTATGCACATATCTTAACAATAAAACTACCATTAATAAGCCAATAATGGTTAAATTTTCTACATTTATTTATATTATCAACACATTGTGTGATATTCAGTTTATAATATCTCTATTACAAGCTCTGCATATTCTCCTGGTGTAAGTATAAGATGATGCCTATTTTCTTCATATATTATGTTTAGAGTTTCTATCTTCTTGATTTCAGATGAAATCGTGGAAATTTTCTAACGTAGTACAACGAAATTGTCACCTTCCAAAGCTATGGTTTATAATTTTTTGTTTGCGCCAGAGGTATATGTTTTTTTTTAAACTTTTCGATGCATTTTAATAGGCTCAAACCAGTTGGTGAAATATTGTCATCACAAAATGCCAAATACTTACTTGAAAATGACAAAGTTAGACACTCTGTGACGTATCGAACTTGGAACCAGTTTTGGATTCGTAATTAATTAATTTGCACGAAGATAAGCGAGTTTTCTGTATTACTTACTTAAGAGTAACTCTCCGATTTCCTTTGGGAAATAAAGCGTTTTCAGGAGATCTTAAACACTACATAATTGAAGCGTATTTCAATGTTTAATCACTTACGTTCTTTGTCGATGTTCATACCGACAAGAGTCCTAGGTTTTATGCAGTATCGATCGATCTATTACCCAGTGGGTAGCTGTTTGATTATTTATTTAGCTGCATATCAACTCCTTATGGATCATTTAATGACGAAATTTAATTTTCTTGGGAGCATTAGTAATTTCTTTTACAAAAAATGAATTACTGGTATTTTTTAAAAAAAAAGTATTACTGGTACATTTTTAACTACGAAAATGTATTGCTGGTATCTTTACTATAAAAATGTATTTTTTTTAATACTTTCATATTATTTTGATCCCAGTTTGTTATTCCTAGGTCCACCATGACCCGGGGTGGTAGCACCTGTTATGGTCCCAACTATGGGCAAATAGATGACCCTTAAACTTGGTTCAAAACACTATCAAATTATGAAAATAGATTTTTCTAGTAAATATGCCAGTAATAGATTAAAAAAAAATACCAGCAGTACATTTAAAAAAAAAAAATATTAATATATATTCTGTTCATATGAACCTATTTTAAAATTCTTAAATCATGTCGGCATTAAATAAACAACTGATGTTAGTATGTTGTAAAACAAAATAAACCAAACCATCAAAATTTATCGTCAACTGAACACAGAGTATGAAACTGTTATATTTTGATCTTGTGGTGATGAGCTGGCAACCATATCACGTTGAAATATTGGTTCCCCTATGCTCACCGAAGTTAAACAACGTCGAGCCTCGTCAGTACCTAGATGGGTGACCACTTCAGAATACCAGGCGCCGTAAGCTTAGATTATCTAATGCATAAACGGCTCACAGTTTGAAATTGGACAAATCGGAGTTCTAATTCTAGTCAGGTTCATTACATTTACTTACGCGCAAATACCCTCGGAAAAAAGTATGAATAGATCTCTTCTCTCCCTCCCGAAGATGTATGCTAATTAGCAGAGCTTATTTCAGTAAAAATCATTTTTTTCCTTCAAAATATTTTTAAAATCTAAAAAATATTCTGGCTTTAAATAACCTGCAAAAGGTTGGTATTGTAAAATATAAATCAACCATTTTGTAGCGTTACGTTTGCGCGATCTGAGACACTATCAGGCATTTTCATAAGTTTGAATATTTCTCTCTCTTTTTTCTTTCAAAATGATTTTACAATCTAAAAAATATTCTGGCTTTAAATAACCTGCAAAAGGTTGGTAAACTGTAAAACATAAATCAACCATTTTGTAGTGTTACGTTTGCTCGATTTGAGACACTATCAGGCATTTTCATAAGGTCGAATCTTTGTCTCTCTTTTTTTTCATTTTTGCTTCCCGACCCACCCTCTCACTGTACATCCAATATACCAATAATGGAAGTTTTCTTCTTTTTTGGCTTTGCTTCACCTGCAATACGTGGCGCGTCTGCATTGAAGATTCAATTAGCTTCGGCGCTTAAAGCAAACCTGATCAACAATACCCAAACGCCACAAAACATTTATTAGGGTTAAAACGGTAATCAGGACAGCCATGCGCTCGCTTGGCCGGGCCTGATTAAAATATTTCTTTCTGGCCTTAGAAGATGCTTTGTGCTGGCCCGATCTCTAAAAGATCAATGTTCTGACACGTGATCTCTCAATTATTATCAACGGTAAAGGAAGGCATATAAACATGACCAAAAATACGCGAGCCTTCACGCGCAATCAAACTTTCAGGAAAATGCAGACTTGCAAACATTTTTTCATACATCCATGCACAATTGTGCGCATGTGCAAAAAAAAATATATATATATATATATATATATATATATATATATATATATATATATTCTATTTTTATTCGTTTTAAAATATAACACTCGGAAATATTTCTTGAGAAAAACCGTTTTTGGAGTACGATATCAAATCGCATTTACGATTTTAATAGCATAAATGACATGTACCACATTATTTCCCGTCTGAATATTTTACACGACAGAAATGATGGACTCATTCTTGACACAAGAAATCATACGTTCTATCCTACTTTACAAATGAAATAAATGATTATTTTCTAGGTAATCTGACACTCCCTACTTGGGAGACTAGAGTAACAATCTTCTTTTATCTGTTCCTTCAAGACATAAGCGATCATGACTCTCCACAACTTCCTATTCTTTGCAGCTTTAAGCAGTGTTTACTCGTTTACTATCCTTTCTAGTCACTGTTCTAACATCTATTAGCGTAATTTCGTTAGAATGCAGATAGCCCAAACACGCATGCACGCATATATTAAGGTTAATCTCCGCTTGACAACAGAAGAGGTCACGTGGGAGTCACGAGTCATTTTGGTGAAGCAGGTCAAGAGGTTGACTGACCCAGTTACCCGTAGCAACAGACGTCTAGACAGAATCTAGACAGGGGACTGACATAAGGTCGTGAAGCAGCAGGAACAGGAATTCGCGCCAAAATGCAGGACACGTGGAAATTAGAAAATTATTTGGAAGTCAGTTGCTGTCTTGTCTTTGAAGGAGCAAGACTCGAAATCGAAGCGCTGATAACTTATGAACGGAAAGATGAGACTAATTTTGGTAATGATGGAACTTGTCCGATTCATCATAAGCAACTCCGGATAAGAAATATAAGGATGTATATTTCTGTATTCAGATTGAAGAAGATAAATCGAGTTATTTATCACAGAGGACGCAAGGAAATTTGCACACTGAGAATACAGCCTGTGTTTGAAGAAAGAAAATAGAAATCAAGAGAGAAGAAGAAAGTATTTATCTCTGTTGCAGCCGGACCTTGTTTGAAGCTGAACTGTGTAAAGAAGAAGAAAGAAAGAAAAGAAGAAGAAAGTATATATCTCTGTTGCAGCTGGGCCGTATTTGAAATTGAATTTATGTAAAGAAAAGAAAGAAAGAAAAGAGGAAACGTGAGAGAGAGAAAAGAAAGGACAATGAGTAAGAGAGAGAGAACTGAATATAAAGATAAGTAACTATATATTTTGGACCCGTGTTAGAAAGATACACATGCATCTATGAATTTTATGTTCTTACAAACACCTTTCCACATGTCAAAATAGTAATATATAAATCCTATCCCATCTCTTTTTTTTTTTTTTTTTTGGTTATGCGTTGATTTCTGCGTTCGTAGTTATTCATACTTATTTTTTTTTCTATCCGTTCGGGTTCAGTCGAATCCACTTGGATTTGGGCATATTTTGGTAACCTAACATAAGTCTTAAGGTTCTGGTCGTCGGATGCTTTACTCATGCTTATATTTTTTCTTTTATTGTAATATCTTGTGTATATGTATATATTAAAGTTCTTATATCAAAATTTATTACGCCTTATCGTTCATCCTTGAATTGTGGATCGGTATATGTGTTGAAACCGAAGCGAACCTGGGAAAAGACTACTGATTGATTATCTCAATCGAACAGTGTTCTTTAAAATATTTTGTTTACTAATTGTCCATTTGTCATGATCTGGGAGAAATAGCCCGTATTTCTCCATTGACGTGATAACGTATATATCTCCTGGTCGGCGTATGATTGCGTTATAAATTATTCGTCGAGTAGGACATATGACAATCGTAAAAATCTTAAATCTTATCGGCATTAAATAACCCATTGAGGTTGATATACCGTAAAACAAATAAAATCAGTAAATCCTTTGAGCATCATATTTTTCAAGCCATCTCTCCTCATTATGTGTCACAGAAATTTCAACAGTCTTTTTCTGATTCTAATAAAAGTGTCCTTTCTGTTATCGTCTAAACTCTTAAAACTTCCTCATTGCACCCGTGTTTTATCCGTGCTATTCTCAGCATCCTCCACAAGGATCACATATGTGTTACCTCGTCTCCTGTTCATCCGCGAGGAAATTGTCCAACATTCACTAAGAGGACTCATATAAAACGGTAGTTTAGAACGCTTTTTTTTTGTATTTCTAACGAAACTGCAGGATATACAAATGGTATGATGGATAGAGTTTCGGAAAGAGAATTTGGTGAACCGATTTCGAATTCCACGCGTTTCGTTACATTCATTTACGTGTAAATCTTATGAATTCACCTTTTCTCCCTCGAGCTATGGGTTAAATAGTAGGATGTATATCTGGAGTAATCATTGTTATTTTCAAAAACTTGTTAATTCACTAGAGAAAAAAAATCCTACAATAATTACAATACTGTGGCCGAGTGGTTAGAACATTCGCTTTCTGATCATGAGACCGGGGTCGAATCTCACCATGGTCGATATTATATATTATCGGTCTGAAGGAGGCGATATCAGCGTGCGGCATCGTTGGTAAGTGCTTGAAAACAAGACCACGGGTTGACCCAAGCATTGTGAGTCAAATTGGGAGCCGTCGGTGCTTGTGCTAGCACGAAGTCACAAGTCATCGTGACCGAGGGTTTGAACGTGCTGATGCTGTTCAGACCGTTGATCACGCTAGACGATGCGCTCTCTCCCAGAAACAGTAAGTAAGTTCTGCTCAGCATATTTGCACTATAAACCACAGGTGGGCTGTGTGAGTGTTAAACAAACACAAATGTGTCTGAGCAGACGTCTGCAATTTGGGTTAGATAGCCGGCCTAGTGGACTGGCATCCGCGAATACAAGTGGCTGCGCCATTTACATTATACTAAATCTCTTCATTCTCTTTTGCAATTTATGCATCATCAATTTCTTTGAGGATGTGCGAACAGCGTAATTATTATCGGCGTGGAATATGAAAGCTGCGAGCCGAGTTCAAATTCCGCACGATTCTGTTTCATTCACTTCAAGCTAATAACCTTGGGAAAATGTATGAATCCATATTTCTTCAGCTATGGGTTAAATAGCAGAGCAGATCTGGCTCTCTCGCTAAGTCTAGAATGAAGAAAATCCTAAATTCAAAACCTGCCTAAAGAGGGATAGGATCCATCAGCTTATCGTGATCTAGACACACCAATAATGTACAGGCGGCTATACATGTGGTGACCTTTGATGTAAATCGCTTACAGTATTCGTAAGTCGTGAGTTTCTTTCGTCTCATTCTGTGACTTTATCCACGGCTCTCTATATCGCAGGAATAGTATTAATCTCTGAGCTAACCACCGTCGTCCTGGGTATGACGATAAACTACATCTGGTAGCAAGGCCTCTGATCTGGAGGCTTTCGAACCATTTCTTAATTGCTATTGTTCCTAGGTCCACACTGACACGAGGTGGGTTGTAGCATCTGTTAGCTATAGGAAAAATACTGGGGTCAAAACTTTATGAAAGTATAAAATATATTTTTTAGTAAAAAATACCAGTAATAAATTTTCATAGGTTAAAAAAAAATTACCAGCAATACATTTTTGTTAAAAATAATTAAAAAAATTTACGAGCAATGCATTTTTGTAAAAGAAATTACTAATGTTCCCAAGAAAATTAAATTTCATCATTAAAGGAATTGATATGCAGCTAAATAAATAGGTAAACAAACAGCTACCCACTGGGTAATAGATTGATTGATACTGCATAAAACCTAGGACTCTTGTCGGTATGAACATCGACAAAGAACGTAAGTGATTAAACATTGAAATACGCTTCAATTATGTAGCGTTTAAGATCTCCTGAAAACGCTTTATTTCCCAAAGGAGAAATTACTCTTAAGTAAGTAATGCAGAAAACTCGCTTATCTTCGTGCAAATTAATTAATTATGAATCCAAAACTGGTTCCAAGTTCGACACGTCACAGAATGTCTTACTTTGTCATTTTCAAGTAAGTATTTGGCATTTTGTGATAACAATATTTCACGAACGGGTTTGAGCCTATTAAATTGCATAGAATAGG